TTTTTTTTTTTTTTTTTTTGCTGGGAATCTTACCATGTGAAAAACAAACTTCACTTATCCTAACATGTGACACATTCTCCCAAACTTATGCATAATAATAAGACATTCTTAAAAAATATTAAAGATACTAACCATGTGAATGACAATATAATAAGTCATCCATGCAAAGTGAATAATTTACCAAATAATTGGAAATATCCACTTGGACCTTTGTTAACTATGGCACGGGAAAATGGCTAGGCGCAAGCACATGGACCGGACTTGTTCGGTTCCAGTTATGGTTCGACTTCGACATTTTCTCGAGTTTTCTCGATCTCATTTAATATACCGACGTGAAATAATAAATCCCGACTAATAAAGAATTACTAATGTCCATTTATAAAATAAAAGGACCAGTATTAATTACTAGAACTTACTCGGTTACTAAATAAAATTTAAACTAAGTATATTCTCAACTTAGAGTCGAACTTAAAACTGAATAACTGAATAAATTAGACTCGGAACTAACATCGAGAATTTATTAATAAAAGGAAGGTAGTTCAAACTCGGAACTAATTATATCGCTCTTATTAATAACGAAACGGGACGTTACAATCTATCCTCATTAAACTATTTCCGTCCTCGGAAATACTAGAACTGAAAATATGCCATCGAACCCAAAAATATACATCAAAACTGGAAATCAGGAAAACATGCGCGAATATCGGACTCTGCCTCCCAAGTAGCTCCGTGGCGATCCCACTGAATACGCACGAGGGGAACATCTCGCTTCCGGAGCCGACGGACCTGACGGTCTAGTACAACTATCGGTCGCTCCTCGTACGAAAGATCTGGCTGAACCTGAATATCCGAATGAGGAATAACATGATCGGCGCATACGTACTTACGCAACATAGATGCGTGAAAAACATTATGAATGCCTGACAACTCGGGAGGTAGGGCTAATCGATATGCGACCTCGCCCACTCGCTCGAGAACCTCGAATGGGCCGATGAATCGAGGGTGCAGCTTCCCTCTCTTTCCGAATCGAACAACTCCATGAATCGGACGAACTCTGAGAAAAGCTGGCTCGCCAACCTCGAACTGAATGTCTCGTCGATGATGATCGGCTGAAGATTTCTGTCGACTCTGAGCTGTCTTGAGTCTCTGCCGGATCAACTCGACTTGATCTGCTGTCTCCTCGATCAACTTGGGACCGAGTACTCGTCGCTCTCCGACGTCGTCCCAATAAAGAGGGGAACGACACTTGCGACCGTAAAGTGCCTCGTAAGGAGCCATCTGAATGGAAAAATGATAGCTGTTGTTATACGCGAACTCAGCATACGGCAACAACGACTCCCACTTAGCACCCCTGTCAACAACCAAAGCGCGAAGCATATCCTCAAGCGTCTGAATAGTCCGCTCGCACTGACCGTCTGTCTCCGGATGGTAGGCTGAACTGAACTCTAGCTTCGTGCCCATCGCCTCATGTAAACTGTGCCAGAATCGACTGACGAATCTGGGATCTCTGTCTGATACGATCGTAACGGGCACTCCGTGGAGTCGGATGATCCCACGGGTATATATCTCAGCCAACTTATCCAAAGACATCTTCATCGAAACGGGTAAGAAATGAGCGACCTTAGTCAATCTGTCGACCACGACCCAGATAGCGTCGTGATGTTCAGACGACCTCGGCAATCCCGTAACAAAATCCATCGTGACTTCCTCCCACTTCTACCTCGGAATCGGCAGTGGCTGCAGGAGGCCGATCGGACTCTGATGTTCGGCTTTGACTTGCTGACAGGTAAGACACCTCCTGACAAACTCGGCGACGTCTTTCTTCATGCCTCGCCACCAGAACGACCCTTTCAGATCGTGATACATCTTCGTGCTCCCGGGATGGGCCAGATAGGGTGCGGTATGAGCCTATGATAAAATCTCCTTCCGCAACGCCTCGACTTTCGGGACCACGATCCTGCCTCTGAACTCTAGGGCACCATCGGCACCTAGCTAAAAACCGTCGACGCCTCCGGCGTGAACCTTGGCCTCCATGACACGAATGAACTCGTCAGAAGCCTGCTCTCACCGGATTCTCTCTCTCAGCGTCGGCCGAAGCTGCATGGCACTGACACTGGCACCGACATTCCCCAAAATGGATGTGGGAAGTGCATCAATCGCTTGAAGCTGCATCCGGGCAAACTCTTGAATCAACGGTCTCTACTGAGTAATGACGTACGTCAAGTCACCCCTCACCTTCCGGCTTAGGGCGTCCACGACGACGTTCGCCTTTCCTGGATGATACTGAATAGAGCAATCGTAATCCTTGACGAGCTTTAACCAACGACGCTGTCTCATGTTGAGCTCCTTCTGAGTAAAAATATACTGCAGGCTCTTATGATCTGTGAAAATCTCACAATGACCGCCGTAAAGATAGTGTCGCCAAATCTTGAGAGCATGAACGACTGCGGCTAACTCCAAGTCGTGCGTCAGATAGTTCTGTTCATGCGGCTTAAGCTGACGTGAAGCATACGCGACGACCTGGCTATCCTGCATAAGGACGCATCCCAAGCCCTGTCTCGAAGCATCACTGAAGATGGTGAAACTCCGAGAAAGATCGGGAATAGTCAACACCGGTGCTGATGTTAATCTCTTCTTGAGCTCCTGAAAGCTCGCCTCACAACGATCAGTCCACTCGAACTTCACAGACTTCCTCCTCAGCTGGGATAGAGGGAGGGCGATCTTGTAAAAGCCCTCTATAAACCTGCGGTAATAACCAGCTAGACCGAGAAAACTGCGAACCTCGGACGGACTCCTCGGTGTCGACCAGTTCTGAACAGCTGAGACCTTGGAAGGATCCACCTCGATACCTGCCTGAGTAATCACATGACCCAGAAAAGATACTCGCTGGAGCCAGAACTCGCATCTGGAGAATTTGGCAAACAACTTTTCTCGTCTGAGGGTTTCGAGAACCACCCTCAGATGCTCCTCGTGCTCCTTCTGGCTCTTCGAGTAAATAAGGATATCGTCAATAAAGACAATAACGAACTGATCGAGGTAGGGATGGAAAATACGATTCATGAGGTCCATGAAAACTGCTGGAGCATTGCTGAGGCCGAATGGCATGACGACGAACTCGTAATGGCCGTAACGAGTCCTGAAAGCGGTCTTAGCGATATCTGATTCTGTAATCTTCAGCTGATGGTAGCCTGATCGTAAATCAATCTTTGAGAACACACAGGCTCCCCTCAACTGATCAAATAAGTCGTCGATCCTGGGAAGCGGATACTTGTTCTTGATCGTCAACCGGTTAAGATCCCGGTAGTCGATACACATGCGCATGGATCCGTCCTTCTTCTTGACAAAGAGAACGGGTGCTCCCCAAGGTGACACGCTCGGTCGGATGAAACTGAGTCGTAACAGCTCCTGAATCTGCGCCTTAAGCTCCTGCAACTCCTTTGGCGCCATACGGTATGGGGCTTTAGATACTGGACTGGCTCCTGGAATAAGATCGATAGAGAACTCCACCTGCCGGTTAGGCGGTCCTCCTGGAAGCTCGTCTGGGAACACGTCCACAAACTCACGAACAACCGGAACATCGTGAGGTGAGCGTGCTTTCTGGGAATCATCGACAAGGCTTACCAGATAACCCTTGCAGTTGCCTCGTCGCAGCAACTTAGTCGCTTTCGCCCCCTTCGAATGAACAAAGTAAACTCCCCTAATGTCTTTAGATCGAAACAACATGAGGCAGTGAACGATTCTTGGAGCCAAAGAAAGTGCTCGACTCGTCTCTCGAAAGGTAGAGAGTGATCTCCCGGTCATGACATCTGATATCTGCATGATAAAAGGATAGCCAATCCATTCCGAGAATAAGGTTGAAGTCCCTCATCTCGAGAACAAACGCGTCGGTAGACAATACTCGGCCACCGATGGAAAGGCTAAGGTCTGAAGCTTTAGCTGAGGTCACTATCTTTCGTCCCGAGGCTAAACTCACCTCGAGAGGATCGACAGCGGTAATGGCATGAACTCCGATGGCATCAAGATATCGTCGTGAAATGAATGAATGCGTTGCTCCAATATCGAACAAGGCAAACACAGGAATATCATTAAGCACAATCATCCCTGACATAGTACCTGGCTGTTGTGCTACCTCGGCCTGATCAACCGCATAGACTCGGGCCTGCTGTCTGCCCCTCTGCTGCTGCTGCTGAGGCGGCCTCTGCGCCTGCTGACGTGGCTGCTGCTGCTGTGGCGGCTGCTGCGGCTGCTGGGGCTGCTGCTGAAGTCTCTTCGGACAGCGACTCGCAAAATGTCCAGGCTCGTGGCAGTAGTAGCAAATGTCCTGACCCATGTGGCACTCTCCCCGATGAAGTCGTCTGCAAGTCGGGCACGGTGGAACCTGCTGCTGTCTCTGTCGGGTCCTCCTGTCAGTCTGTGCGCCCTTTCTCTTCCTCTTCTTCTCCTTCGTCGGCTGAGCAGCTGGTAGAGCTGGTGGAGCTGTGAATGGCTGAACTGGGGCGGATGGCTGGGCACGATCACGGACCGCCTCCCTCCTGATGCTGGCGTCCACCTCCTGGGCAATAGAAACTGCACGAGCGTATGTCTGTGTCCCATGGCCTACAATATTGTGACGGACTGCTGGGTAAAGCCCGTCGATGAACCGCTGTGCTCTCTGGGCCTCCGTGCGAACCAGGTCCGGAACGAAAGCTGCAAGTCTAGTAAACTCTCTCTCGTACTCATCAACAGTACGAGTGCCCTGCTGGAGCGATAAGAACTGACGCTCCATCTCTGCCCGATAATAAGTGGGGTAGTACTTCTCGCGGGCTAGCTCCTTGAGCATATCCCACGTACATCCCGCTTTCTCACCGGGACGCATGCTCCAGTAGGCATTCCACCAGAGCCGAGCATCACCCGTGAGCTGAAGCTGAGCGCAGACTACGCGATATCTATCAGGACAGTCCATGACCTCGAAGATAAACTCCAGGCCCTGAATCCATTCGTCTACAATGCGGGGATCTCCCTGCCCTGAGAATTTTTCAACGTGATAGTCGCGGAACTGTGCGACTACGGTGGCCTGAGTAGGAGCCGGATAATCGGGTTCCCTACGTGGCGGCATTTGAACATTGAGAAAGTTTAACATTATTGAATACGTGATAATATTCTGACTGATTACTAAGGCACACAGATCTCTTGACGAGTTGCCAAAAATGGCCGATAAATACTGACATGAATCCTGAAGAACTCTAGAGTCATATCGGAGGATACTAATTTCTAGAGTCATTATCTGAATGCCCTGAATTCTAGAGTCATATCCGAACTCTAAAGTCTGAACCTGATTCGAGCATCTTAACTAAAACCTGATCCATAATTTCTGAGCATAGACAAAGTAATATGTTTATAACTGAAAACATAAATCAACACTTACCTGTCGTCGACGGGGCGTGAGCATGACGGTTCAGTTTGTAATATCCCAACTTTTATCAGTATAATAATATTTTAGTTCCGGTAGTATTTTTCGGAATTAATTAATTTCAGTTATTTCAGTCAGAAATTACCGGAACTATTTTCGACGTACCGTTTACGTTCGAAATAATTTTGGTAGTTAAGCATTATGTTTAATTGAATAATTAAACATAATTAAGTGATTAATTTACATTAATCACGAGATTAGTGTTATATTTTGCTCCTAAGTCATGTGCCATTGCCGTGCGTTAATCGGTTCATGTTCATGCGAGTGCCGTGTGTGTGTGTGTTCGTCCGAGAGTATCCGCGCGCGTGCTAAGGGGCGGAGTATCCGAGGGCTCGTGTAAGAGTCTGTGCATAGCCCTTGTCATGTTGCTAGCAAGTGTCCAAGAGAATCCGTGCCCAACCTTCACGTGGAGACCGTGCGCGCGTGTTGTAGCCGAGAGAATCCGTGCGCCCCTTGTCTCTTTGCTAGCCGGCGGAGTGTCCAAAGCTTCAAGCATATGGCCGTGTGTTTTATTCGAGTTCGTGTGCATAGAACCGCGCGAGTGTTTGAATTTTCGGTCCCACTCATGCGCCATCCCTTGTTCATGTTCGCCGTGCTATTGTGGAGGGCGGAGAAATCCAAGTGTTTGTGGAGGACCGTGCGCACCCCCTCTTTGTCCTCTTGTGCGTGGGAGTTACTCCAATTTGTCCCATTTATCTTGTAATGACATGCACATGTTTTAGAGCATTTTGTCTCTTTTTGCCGTGCATGTGAGGGGGGTGAGTGGCCGGTCATTTCATCACTTGTCTTGGGAGTTCACGTGAGTCTTCCCCTCAATTTCTCCGCCATATATTCGGTTTTAAGGGAGGACTTGGGAAAGTTATGCATTTTACTCCATTTCCCTCTTAAGTGCCGAGAGTTAGTGAGATAGAGCGAGTGAGAGTTGAGCAATTTTTTCGAGTGTTGCGCGAGTCCGTCCGCGCATCCGCAAGCCGTCGGCGGTCCGAGTGCAACGCGCAACACCGAGACGC